TTCTTCTTCTTCTTCTTCTTCTTTTCCCTTCTTTTTCTTTTTTTTTCTTCTGCTTCTACCTCTTTTTTTTTTCCTTCCACCTTGCACCTCAGTGAAATGTCAAGGCGATGCGAAATCATGAGGTTAATAGACTAAAATGGCTGGGCCATATGGAGTGAATGTCAGGCGACAGCGAGGTCAAATCTGTATACACAAGAAAGTTAAATGCTCACCGAACACGAGGCAGACCAAGTAGACTGTGGTGGAGAGATACCATACAGACACGATATAATATTATAACATATAAACACTTGGTGTCACCAACTGGAAAGAGAAGGTCAACCAGAGAGATGAATGGAGGCGGGTGATGAAATCTGTAGCAATGAAATTCAAAGAAGAATAGCGGAAAAACTAATAATGCATACATACCGCCATGGCATTGGAGCTGCCGCGGTGGAGCGGCTAGTCGCTCGTCTGCGGGTCTGAAGGTAGTTGGTTCGGCTCATGACAGAGCCGGTCCTTTTAAAAAAAAGACATTGGCTCCTAGGTCGACCTAGCCTTGAGTTGGTACTACATGTAGTCCTGGGAAGTAAATGCGGACCCCGTGATACTGACGACATCACCCACCAAATGCTGGTTGGTCTATAAAATATAGACCTAGTCCTTTTACTTATCAGTCACTCCCGTGTGGCATGCCATTTTTCGTTATTTAAATCCCCACCCTGGCATTTGTCGGGGCCTTGAATATAGCTGGGCCACATTTGTGGTCACAACTACTGAAAGGGGTTTCTTGGACCTCTCCACTGGTGATCCTAATCCGCATGGTAGCACTTTGTGTCATCGGGTGTTTATCGCTTGTGTGATGTCCTGGTGGGGTACAGCAAGCAAGCAAGCTATATGACCAACACACCTAAAGGGAAAGGGTCTTCACTTAACTTACATACCATAGCATAGACGTCACGATCATAATTTTAGAAAAAAGGAAATAATAGCTGCTGGACTGATTCAGAAAGAATGGATGAGCACACAGTATAGCCTAGTGGATTGACTAATGGAAAGGCCCGCAGGGATAACAGCGAACGTTTAGATGTTAATCTTTATTATTGAAAAAGAAAATAAGGTTTCCTACAAACTTTAGAAATCTACACAAGACAGTAAAAAAAAAAGTCAATAATTCTCACTGCATAACATTTAGAAAAAAATGATTTGGAGAAGCAAAGTATGTTGAATAACGAAAAAAAAATAAATAAAAAAAAAACGTACAGTAAAAGTAGACAAAACAGTACTGAGTATGTGTGTATGTGTGTGTTTATATATTGCGCGTGTGTACTCAATGTAATCTTTCAACACTTAAGTGAGACTCACATTCAGCACTTATTTTGCCTGGTTTGATGCTTTTGTTTAGCCCATAAGAGTGCTGAACAAATGTTAACTTTATGAACAAGAAATAATGCACCAAATAAACATTACTTTAATCTAGAGATTAAATATCCTAAATTTTCCCCTGTTTAATTCTTTGTAGATAAACTGAAGAAAGGAGAGAGATTAAACAATAGCAGTTATGAAATCAGCACAATAATCACATAGAAGCACATGAAAATGTACCACTTGTGTAATTCAGGCACAGGGTATGAAATGTAAATATAAGCATTTACAAGTTGGCATGTTCAGATCTTTATTCATTTTTTTTTTTTTTTTTTTTTTTTTTTTTTTTTTTTTTTTAAAATGCTTGCCGGTAGTTAATTTATACTTTTGACTCTTATTTTGACTCTGTGATGGTAAGGGGGAAAAGCAAAAATTTTATTTTATGCGTTTGCTTTATCCTTATTTTCTGGTATGTCCAGTGGATGCTTGCAAACAGCTTGGAAATGCTCTGTATGGAAGGCACACATCTCTAAAAAAAAATCTGACGAATCAAGTCCCATTAAGGTGTAAGAGCGGCTTCCAGCTGTTACTTTTAGCTGCAGGCCCTTGCCGTAGACTCCGCATCCAGACAAAGGATAGGTTCAAGCTCGTCTGAAAATAGGACACCCAACCACTGCAGTCAAGTCCATCTGTCACGTTGCTCAGCGCAGCTGGTGATGTCTGAGAACCAAGTTTGGCCCTAGTCTATGTCTTCTTGCAGTAAGGCTTGTATCTATGAGTTGTCGCATGACTGTCATCCGATAGACTTTCGAAAGTCCACTCTCTATTGCTATTTATTTTCAACTTGCTGAAGAAAACTTGTCCTTAGATGACTCAGCATAAAATGCCGATCTTGCTCATGGTTAGTTGGAAACCCTAACATCTCTCTTGGGACTAAAGGTTTCGTAACGTTCATTGAGACGTACAATACTGCTGTAATTGTGGTATTAAAAACAGATTTAAACAAACGAACAAAACGTATATCAGCAAGCTTTAAAATATAACAATTACAAATAACACTTGAACGTTGCGGCTATGGAGCCATCATCAGCACATGAAGAAATTCATTTTTCTGACAGTGACTGCTACCTCTTCCGGTCTCCAGAATCCAATGGTTTGTTGACGCTCTTTTTCAGATAGTCGTGCCACTGAAATCACGTAGTGGGTGTTTTGTCACAACCGCCTTCAATAACTGAGTATACGGCCACAGCACATACACATTTTCAGAGTCATTGCTGTTGGGAATCGTTTTATGCGTTTAAATTTTATTGTTTTCATGTAGACTGTATACCAGGATTATTCAACTGGCGGCCTGCGGGCCAAGTCTGGCCCGCGGATGCCTGGCAAATGACCCTCTCGGCTCCTTGGCCAGGGATAATCTACGTTTTCAAAATGTTGGTCCCTGAGTAGAGTAAGTTGAATAGCCCTGCTGTACAGAAACCCGTGGACAGCAGCCATTCACTCTCTACCGCAGGGGTTCTCAACCTATGGGACTCGATCCTTTTCTGGGTCGAACAGGGGTTGCCAAGGACTATTGCAAAACAAATATTCATTAAAGTTATGAAGTAGCGAGGAAAACAATTGTATGGATGGGAGTCACAACAACACTAGGAACTAAATTAAAGGGTCACCACGACACAAGGAACTGTATCAAAGGGTCGCTACCAGACAAAGGTTGAGAACCAATGCTCTACAGCATAACAAACACAGGAAAAATCCACCCTCCCCCCCCCCCCCCCTTTCTCGGCAAAAAGAATATATGTTGCGATTGTAATGATTCTGATGTGCATCAGTATGGTAAATAAAAAACGAAGTAGAATTTTGCCCCATGTAACTTCAGGGTGAGTAACTTGTTGTTGGCCATCCTAAGGTCTGTCCCAGCAACTGTCAAAGGTTCCATAAAGTTCATTGAGATAAACAGTAGTACTGTGGTAGCCATTCATTCCTCTGACAGTGGCCTCACACTGATCTCCAAATACCAAAAGTTCGTCGAGGGTTGTTTTAAGATACTCGTAACATTGCAAGAACATGTATTGGGTGTTTTGTCTAAACGACTGTACCTGTCTAATTTCATTACTGAGCTGGTCCTTCAATGTCCCGCAAATATCGCATCCCAATGCGGGACGCAATTTTTCGTTATTTTAAAGCCCCACCCAACCCCAAATATGGAAGTAAATCATGGACAGTTGGTAGATTAGTGAAACATTATTTAAAAGTTTCAGAGATGCGGTTATTTTATAGAGAATAATGAGAATACCCTGGACAGATAAAATGAGTAATGGAGATGTCTTGAAAGAAATTGACTCACGAAGAGAACTGTTTGCCCACATCAGAAAGAGACAATCTACATTCTTTGGTCATGTGGTGAGAAGGAGCTAATTTTAGTACATCGAAAAGTAGAAAAGCTGGAGGGGAGGAGCAGTAGAGGGAGACCGAGAGAAAAGATACTGGACAGTTTGCCATCATGACATTGGGAATTATGTGTGTCAAAGTTAATTGAAAGTACACGAGACAGAAGGTGTGGATAAACATGACTACCAACGCCACATGGCATGGACTTTAAAAAGAAGAACACCATGGTATACAAATGTCAGAAAACATGTTTTACGAGGTGTCATGTTAACTATAATACTATTATTATTATAATCCCCATGTGGGTTTTCTAAAGCTCCATTTTTGAGAACAAGGAACATACACACCCACTGCCCCCTTCAGTCTCCCACAAGCATATCGTAGGAGACAACTAATTAGAGATGTTTCTTTCTAAGTCGGAGTGCATCTGCTTGAGAAGCAATGAACCAACAGTCTCAATACAAAAAAGCCAGATATGTAAAACGAATGTACACGCAAAATTCATTATAATGCCAGTTGAAAATTTTTAAAAAGCACAATAGGTTGCTTGATATTCAATTAGTTAAACAATGATTGATTTTGAAAATAATATAAACAACACAATAATGTTAGTGAAAGCCCGCTAACTGTTTTGTATTCCTAACATTTAATAGTCAACATGATTATATTCCACTTTTGCCGTGAAACGTCTTTGGAAGAAACAGTTGGTGATCCAGTGATCGATAGTGACACTGGCTATTATCATTGCCTGTGAAGTCAAGATTTTTCTAATGTTTTCAGTACATTTCCCTCTTTCACCATCTTGCTCTTGGGCAGTTCTTCTCATATGTAGTGTAGCTGGTGGTTACAGTTGTTGCTGCAAGTTAACAAGATGTTTAATATTGTTGCATGTCTGCTTCTTAACGCCTTCTGTCCGAAGCATATATCCCTTACCTCGGTGATTCCGGCCCCCCCCCCCTTTTCGGCCGCCCCCCCCCCCTCCCCGCCCGCCCCCTTTAGATCCACAGTTGTTAAAATAGTCACAGTAAGGCACGAAAGGTTTAAAGTAACACTGAGTTAGCACAGGTTATTATAACATCTACTTAAGGAATGAAGTGTTTAGAAACAGGGGATATCATGTCAGGAATAACCAGTAAACGGATGGTGAGTTGTTCGGGACTGAATGGGGCTAATGTGTAGAGCACAAAGTGTTGATCCCACAATAAAACATTTAATACAATGAAATAATTAACCGTGAAATGATAACAGTGTTATTGGTATGTATTTTACAATCTTGTATTGTCAGTGACATTTTCTTGAACATCATGTGTGTGTTGCTGTGTACCCTTACAATTGGTTTCCGCCTTTGAATCTTGGTCTTTGAATCTCTTACAAAAGAACACTTTCTGCATGACTCTGTCATAAGGTTCTAGCGATCTCAAACCAAGTGGCAGAAACTTCCAGTTCTGCAGTTTCGCTGGTAGTGCTTCAGGTCGCTTTTCTTGTAGACACTTGATGACGCAAACGATGATGGCGAGGACCACAACTGGTCCCAGAACAGCCAGGAGAACATACCACCCCGGAACTGAAAGAGCGAACACTAACCCAGGCATAAGGAAGAATACAACTAGAATATAAACAATAGCGAACCATCTGTACTTAGCAGTTCTATTGCCCAAGAATCGGGCTAAAGGCAACGGGAACCTTAAAGCGGGTATTGGATAGAATATGACGATTCCTGTGATATTGAAAAAGAGATGGCAAAAGGACACTTGCAATGCGTTCTTCATTTTGTCCGAAGGCGATGCCAGGGCTGATAAGATGGCAGTAGTTGTGGTCCCAATGTTAGATCCCAGAGTCAACGGGTACATCCTTTCCAGTTCAATAACTCCAATGCCCACAAGTGGAGTCAGTGTGGACGTAAAGATGGATGAGCTTTGAACAACAATGGTTAAACCCGCGCCAATTAAAATAGCCAGGTATCCTGTGAAGTATCCAAAACATCCTGGAAAATCAGCATTAATGAATTTTTTAATGATCATCGCCATTGGGCCCTGTAGCAATGAATGCAGTAGTTTCACAATGCACACTAGACATAAACACAGTATTGCAAGCGAGATAACCAAAAGAATTCCACCGATAGCTTTGTCGCTTAGTGTTGGATAAAGTCCCCTGAATAAATAGTCACCTGTGGAGAAAATATATCAAAATTGTTACGAAAGATAATACTCTTAATGTACCCCCAAAAAAATGCATATGTTTAATAAAAGTTTATTAAACATATAATAAAGACAGCCCTTGGGAAAGTAAAGAGGTGAATACCCGTTACATTTTTTTATTTAATTGATTTATTGACAGTTTGTCACTAAAATTTCAACTGTCCTCGTGAATTATGACCCAAATATGACTGTCCCTGTCTAATTTAATTGTGTCCCACTGTTGGACGCAATTTGTTGTTACTTTACAACCCCACCCTAGCTTTTACCAGGGTGATTGCCGTAATATACTATAATCGTGAAACGCGGTTTTTGAGACCTCTCCACAGGTGATCCTCATCCGAAGGGTGGCACTTCGTGTCACTGGGTGTTTATAGCTCTGTGTGATGTCCTGGTTGGGTAAAACTTACTAACTTACTGTGTCGCGCGAGATCGTTATTTTAAAGCCCCGTCGAGGCTGTAGCCAGGGGCCCTAATATAACATAACAATTAAAAGGGTTTTCTGGGAAATGTGCCCGGGTGATTCTCATCTGATGGTAGCACTTTGTGTCACCGGGTGTTAATCGCTTGTAGTTTTGTTCTAACAGGGTTGAACTTACTTAATGCCCTGTTTCTGCGGTTTAAATTACTTCTATTTTCGCCCCACTATGGGAGGCATTTTTTTTTTGTTGTTGTTGTTATTTTGAAGTTCCACCCGGCTGTGGTCGAGGAACCTAATTTAACCTAATGGTTTAACAGGGTCTATGGGGCCTGTGACCGGGGGAATCTTATCGAAGATGCCACATTGTGTCAGCGGGTGTTTATGCCTTGTTGTTGGGTTGAACATCAATCTTCTTACCTCTCCTGTTTTGTTCATATCCTGTCTCACCATAACACGCGGTTGTTGGTTGTTTTTTTAAAGCCCCACTGCGGTTGACATCGTGAGCTCTTAAAGACCTAACGGTTGAAAGGAGTTTCTGAGACTTGCGCCTGAGGGATTCTCATTCGAATGGTGGCACGATGTGTCACCGGATGTTAGTCGCTTGTCGAACAGTGCTGGAGAGGTTAAAGGTCACTCATATCGAGCACTCGCAGATGATCGGTGTCTCGAAGGACTGCCCTGTGTTTTTGTTTGTTTATTGGATCCCTTAATTATTTGTGTGTGCGTGTGCTAGTATACAGTAAACATTGGTACTTACTAAGGGTGCTTACTGACAAGATATTCTTAACGAATCATTTAATTCAGCGTGTGACTAAATAATAATAATAATAATAATAATAATAATAATAATAATAATAAGAATACTAAAAACAAAAATAGTCACGGTTCATTCACACGCACTAGGTTTTTGGGCATATGGTGCCGCACCCATTTTTTATAGACACACTGGCCTAAATGGGTGATGTGGTAAACATGCCCTTGGTCTCCGTTACTTCCTAAAGCATTTCCAGTAGACATTTTAGGCTGGGGCTGATGAGACCCAACGACATTTATTTTTAATATGACTCGATGCGAGACACATGAAGAACACTTGTAACGAATGCTCAGAATACCAAGCGGAGATAGCGACTACTTACATTCGTCAGAGCATGTTTGTCCCACAACATCACTGGCCCACTTTGTGCAAGAGAAAGACTCTGCCCATGTTGTGTTCCGCCGAGTTTCGTTGATCCAAGCGCCAGCACAGGCTGTGGGATTGTAGGAGTGACTCTGTGATGTGAAACAGCTGCTGACGTTCTGACAGACCAACGCGTGGTCTTTTATCATTGGGAATGCGGCTGTAGAAGACAGATTTAGAAAACCAAAATAACAATGCAAGTCTGTGAGCTCCAATGCAAACACAACTTTGGAAAGGGATTTGGTGGAAAGCGGAGGGAGAGGTGGAAAAGGGGGGCCGGGCCTCAATAGTTAAAGGCTAAAGTCAAAAGATCAACTTTATTGCACAGGATTTTATCCGATTTGGCTCAGTCTCTCTTCGAAAAACGGACCTGCCGAGAGCACTGTACAGAGCCTGAACACAGTAGCTCCGGTGACGATCCCCATGGATTTCCGTAAAAACAGCACTCATGAACTCAAGGGCGCAGCCGTGAAACGAAACCACCAACTTTAGAGCACCAGGCAAATAGCTTGACCACTGCGCCATGGAGACCTGCTTACGGGTAAAGATTCGATATCAAATCATTAAGGACACACTAATATAATCACCTTCCTCAACATCCAACGAAGAGTCTGCATACTGATGGTATTCATTGTCGTTTGCTTAACAATGAGAAATTTTTTACCCAAGTTTTCATTAAACGCGGCTTTCGACACTAGTATCAACAGCAACTAGGGCTGTACCGAATATTCGCTTCGTATTTGCTTCGGGGCCGAATAGTGGACATAATAACTATTCGGTATTCAGCCGAATAGTTGCGGTCGGGCCGAATACGAATAGTGGTTACCTTACTCCCGTTTCTGCATACACTGTGATGACTGAAATAACTCTCTCATTAACACAATAGTTGCTGTTGCCTAAGTCATTCGTAGCGGGGAGAAATGCGACCCGGTTGCGAGGTACAAACTGCATAAAATGCCAACCGCAGTGTGTATACGTATGTGTGTGTGTAAGTGTGTGTCTGTGAGAGAGAGAAAGAGAGAGAGAGAGAGAGAGAGAGAGAGAGAGAGAGAGAGAACGAACGAACGAACGAACTTTATTTTCAAAGGGTCACAAATTGGGCACGCAGGCCCGTCTTACATTCGGCCCTTCCAGTCAACCATCTGTCGCACAGCAGTTGTATTTTACTAGAGAGAGAGAGAGAGAGAGAGAGAGAGAGAGAGAGAGAGAGAGAGAGATCGTGCATTTTTCGTTCTGTCTGGATGTCTTCCGCCCAAATCAAATTTGAAGATATTGCTAACGAGAATATGAAGGTGCGTTTAAATTACATCGAACGAACGGCCTAGCCAACGATGGCTTTGAAAGAGGCGAGAGCCCGAAGACAACTAATCACAGACATCAGAAGGAGATAGTCGTCATTTTTCAGCTATGTTATGAGAAGAGGGAAAATGGAACATTTGGTGACCACTGGAAAGATCTGTGGAAGGAGGGATAGGGGAAGACAACGATAGAAGATTCTTGACAGTCTTGTTGCATAGCATGGAGGTGTGTCAGCACACGAACTGTTACATGCTGCAGGAGATAGCAGATTGTGGAGAGGTATGATCGCCCACGCCGGTCGGCAATTCACCTGATGATAATGATACACTATTAGTATTCGAATTCGTATTCGGCCGAATAGTTAGTCCCACTATTCGTATTCGGCCGAATAGTGAAAATTACTATTCGGTACAGCCCTAACAGCAACAGCATACTGTCATTTAGTAGCATTTCCTTTGCAGAACCTTGCTCCCAACACAATCCTCAGGAAAACTTAACTATCACAAGCAAAATGTCCCGCGTGCGATACACTCATCTGGAAATCATCCGCCACATCCTGCACCAATCTTTCTTTAGCCTTTCTCTTCCCCTCTCCCAAGTCTTGCCTTTCCCAATAGCCTCCAGTGGTGCCCAGCTCCCGCAGTCACTCCCCTCTGCATCATTTTCTCCAGGTACGGGTTTTTAATATCTTCCAACGAAACAATGGCTATAGTCGTCCTAGTCATAGGATCGACGTCTACCCTCAAAGTAGGAGTACATCTGCCCGAGAGGCAGTGAACAAGAACAGCACACATATAAGTCAGTCAAACGGATGTACAGGCAAAAGTCATGTCCTGGTAAAAAGCTAAAGTTTAAATGGACGGAAAACCATGACTTTACGTCGGAATTCACAGCAGGTGAACGTAAAGAAGAAGAGTTTCTTTTATATACCTAAAATTTTTTTTTTACCTAAGGTAGTGATTCCCAAACTGTGCGCCGCGGCGCCCCGGGAAGGGGCACCCCAAAATATTCGAAGATACATAAGTAACCCTCCCCTAACCCCCCCCCCACCCCACTTTTTTTTTCTTCCATCCATTTTGTATGTGTGTAAGTGAGAGAGAGAGAGAGACAGACAGACAGACAGACAGACAGACAGACAGACAGACAGACAGACAGACAGACAGACAGACAGACAGACAGACAGACAGACAGACAGACAGACAGACAGACAGACAGACAGACAGACAGACAGACAGACAGACAGACAGACAGACAGACAGACAGACAGACAGGCAGGCAGGCAGGCAGGCAGGCAGACAGACAGACAGACAGACAGACAGACAGACAGACAGACAGACAGACAGACAGACAGACAGACAGACAGACAGACAGACAGACAGACAGACAGACAGACAGACAGACAGACAGACAGACAGACAGACAGAGAAAGAGAGTAAGAGACTAATACGTTGCAGTTTACATTCAGTATACTTTAATACACAGCCAATTTGACACCGAAAGCTGTTCATAGATTCATTACAAATTATCTTCGATATGAGGTTGACATTACATAATAATTGTTTCCCCGAATTTATCTATGTGTTCACTATCTGTTTTACTGACCAACTCTTGACCGACAGCAGTCCTCCTCACTTGATGTCCCCATAAACACAGGACAGTTCAGTGTCTCTACACTGGTACTGACGGTTTGATTACCATAAGACCAGGGTATGGCCAGACAGCTTTGTAGATTGGCTGTGGTGTTCTGCGTCCCACAGGTTTCTATCTGCAGATGATGATAACACTGTCATTACTGGTGTTGCTCTAAACGAATGAATGAAAGAATGAATTATTGAATGAATTAATGAATTAGGAATCTTCATCACTGCACTCGAGACATTCCCACACGTGCCCTGTCCCCTTCTTCAGTAACCAACGAAGAATCCTCATGCTAATAGTACCAATAACGAACCTTTCCTCCCACGCCTTCAGGCATATTGGGCATATAGGGCTAGATCTTTACTGTATAGATTAAAATGCACGCAGTGGATGATGTGGTCAACATCACACATGCTGCTTTTATTTCCCACGATTATACCTGGTACCCATTCAAGGCTTGGTCTACATGTAAGCAATTTCATTTTTTAGGAGAAAAAAACGTCCGGCTCTGTCAGGATCCGAACCCACGACCTTCCGATCCACATGCAAGTATCTAGCCGCTACACCACAGCAGCCCAATAGCTTGTGTAGCAACCTGATTATTTTTGCATTTATTAATATGTTGATTCTTCTTAGAAGATCGTTTAGTGGCATAATGATTAGTTCCTGCTAAGATGTGGTCTGTGGTTAATACCAAAAGCAGGACTATTTGTCGCCCAGTATGACTCTTGACACACTACTTACGTTACTGTCTGTAAACTATGTTGTCATTAGATTCTTTATTATTCTCTTTGTACATGTTGTTTTCACTAGTCCCCATAAACACTGCTTCTGGTAATCTCTGTACACTTTCTTCAATTAGTCTTTCTACACACAGCTTCCATTATTTTTTTAATACACTACTCACTGGAGTGTATGCACACACACCTTCCATTATTCTTTGAATACACTACTCACTGTACTGTATGTACATACACAGCCTCCATTATTCTTTGAATACACTACTCACTGTAGTGTATGCACACACTGCTTCCATTATTCCCCGTACATAATTGCCAGAAACCTGCTTACTGCTGTCAGGAAAAATGGCTCATTGGTAGCTCCATGACAGAAACGTCTATCCCTAAACACAACTAACGGAATCAGTAGAGATAGAAGATTATTATGGCCTGGAGAGAATGAGGCATCTGGGTGTAACCAGAGGGTCTGGCCGGCTCACTACACTCAGATGAAGGGCAAGACGGACATATCACCAGAATGTGACCGGTACCATCAGTATTGGAACTCTGCGCTGGCTGCTGAAGATGAGGACGGAGCTAGCGTGGGAATATCATGAGTGCTGTTATGTCAAATCTTGACTCAACATAACTAAACAACACAACTAAACCAAAATCGTCAGTGTCTGCATACACCGCTTTCATCATTCCATCTACACAATGCTTCCATCATTTCGTGTAGAAACTGCTCCATTTGTTTCTTAACACGCTGATTCTATTAGTTTCCGTACACATTGCATGTATACGACTATACAATTAAATCCACTGTCTGAAAAGAAAAACGACTACTATTTAAAATGATAATGTTAATATGCTGATAAAGACGTTTAGTTATTCCTAGCAAATTAAGACAATGAAGCTTAACAGATAGAAAGAAAAAATGTGTCCAAATACAACCAATCTTTACTGATGAATAAAACAACAATCTACAATCTTTGGGCATGTGATGAGAAGGAGAAAACGAGTACACTGTGTCTGTAGGAAAGTTGGAGTGGGGGAAAGGCAAAAGAAGACCCAAAAAAAGATGTACAGTCTGACATCATAACATGAAGGATCATATGTGTCAGAGTCGACATACAGTACACGTTACAGAAGATTGTTGGTAGGCATGCCTACCAACGTCAAACGACGTAGACTTTAAGAAGAAAACAACAGAAATCACACGCCACAACACACGAATAAAACACATTTAACTCAGTCTGTGTTGTATTCATTTACTTGGTATCAGCTCGACTGTAGGCAGCACTGTTTTTGACAGACTTAGGATAATTTTCATCACTATAAACAACAGACATCCCTGAGTTCAGGTAAAAGTGCAAAGACATCACGTGACATCGAGGTGTTTCCTTATGCGGTGTGTCTCATATGTTTTTGCTTGTTGTTGTTGTTGTTGTTCTTGTTGTTGTTGTTGTTGCAATTAAATACAATTTATGTTGAAATAATTTGGGACATACTTGCAACTTGGTGACAAACTATGCAACTTAATCCTAACCCACGATGCTGCAGAAACCTG